GCGCCGCCGCCAATCACCGCCCGCCGAGGGGAGGAGGGAGCGAGGCGAGGACCAATGGGAAGAAAGCCGCCGAGAGTTGGTCCCGCCTCCCCGGCGCCTCTTTGATTGACAGGGGAACTGACAAATGGGCGTGCGAGGAGGCACGGGCGGCCCTCGCGCTTGGCGCTGCTGAGCCAATGGGAAATGAGAAGCAGAGTAGCGCGGCTTTCCCCGCTGTGCGCTTGATTGACAGCACTTCCGCCCAATGGAACGCAAAGTCTTCACTGAGTGACAGCGACATTAACCAATGAGAGGACACACAGGGTCCGAGCGCTTGAGTGGCAGCAGCACGAACCAATCGCTGCAGGGCGACGACTCCGCCCCTTCGCAATGCAGCCGTTGCCATGGCAACGGGCGCCCCGGGCCCTCAGCGGGGTGAGGCCGCCATGGTGGGGCCGCCACCGCCCCGCGCGTCCCCGGCGACCCGGGGGAGGCCACACGGCGGCCGGGAGGTGCTTCTGAGGTGGCTCCTCAGCCTTGTTTCCCTCTGGAACACCCCCGAGCCCACCCAGGGCCTCCACAGGCCTTGGGGATGGTGCTGCTGGTGAACGTCCCCCATCCCCGCGGCGCCCCTTAGCCACCTGGGGAGGGAGATCTGAGGGTGCTGATTACCCCAGGAGGGAGATTTGAGGGTGCTGCCCACCCCAGGTACCCCTCAGGAGGGAGATTTGGGGGTGCTGCCCATGCTGGGGGGAAGATTTGGGGTGCTGGCACCGCGATGGCCCCGCGGGGGACACAGGGACAGCCCCAGCCTCGGCCAGGATCGATGTTTGGTGATTTTTGGGATGCTCAAAAGGTGAGGAACAGGCTGTGGCTCTTCACAACCACCTCAGCTGCCCCAGGATCTGCTCCAGGCCAGGATCTCCCGCTGGATCTGTAAGAAATAAAGTGGAAAAACGCTGCTGGCACCAGGCCCTGTCCGTCCCCTTCCCTTCCAGGGTCATCAACCCTGATCCACCCTAAAACCCCATAACCTAATTAAACAATCAGGGGGCAGGGTTCAAACCTGCCGCAGTTCGTTCACCCCTTCCCACATGGATTCACACGGGATTCCTGCCTGTCCCTGCTCCCGGTGGGATTCCTGCCCCTTCACTCCTTCCCACATGGATCCACACAGGATTCCTGCCTGTTCTTCCCTTCCCAAATCGATCCCTGTGGGATTCGTGGGAATTCCTGCCCACTCTCCCCCTCCCACGTCAATCCCTGTGTGATTCCTGCACATCCTCCTCATCCCACATGGATCCATGCGAGATTCCTGCCCCTTCTCCTCTTCCAAAATCGATCTGTGCGGGATTCCTGCCCCTTCACCCATTCCTACATGGATCCACACGAGATTCCTGCCCATCCCTGCTTCCTGTGGGATTCCTGCCCCTTCACTCCTTCCCACATGGATCCACCCAAGATTCCTGCCCATCCTCCCCTTCCCAGATCAATCCCTGTTGAATTCCTGCCCGTCCTCCCCTTCCCACCTCGATCCCTGTGAGATTCCTGCCCATCCCTGCTCCCAATTCCTGCCCAAATCCGTGCCAGCAGGTGGGAGGCCCGGGGCAGCACCACCCAGCTCCTGCCATTCCTGCCCCTGCCCATCCCAGACATCTCTTCCCTGCCCCAGAAAACCGCCAGGACAAACAGGATGCCACAGACCGTGGTTCATCCAAGGGAAAAAAAAAAAAAAAAAACAACAAACATGGAAAAACCTGCGTGGGATCCGACGCCTCGCAGCAGGGTGAGGTTGGTCAGGTTTTTCCCAGCGTTTTCCAGGCTGTTTGTGACCCCCCCAAAACCTGGAGGGATCCAGGGATGAGTCCAGGGAGTCAAGGGAAAGTTTTTGGGAGTCTGGAAGTGCTGGGATCCCAGAGATTTTGGGTCATGCCCTCCCCAAACCCTCCCTGGGATGGATTTTGGGGGTGATGCCCACCCTAAACCTCCCTGGGATGGATTTTGGGGGTGTTTTACACCCTAAACCTCCCTTGGTTGGATTTTGGGGATGTTTTCCGCCCTTAACCCATCCTGGGATAGAGATTTAGGGGTTGTTTTCCATTTTAAACCCATCCTAGGTTGGATTTTGGGGCGTGTTTTCCACCCTAAACCCCCCCCCCGGGTTGGATTTTTGGGTCCAGCAAGACAGGGATAAATCCAGGGATGGTTTTTGGGCATCTGGAAGTGCCCGGATCCCGGAGATTTTTGAATCACGGGTTTGCTCTGCTCCAGCTGCTGCCTGTCCCTAATCTCAGCTGGAAATCAGCCCAGAGAACGCCTCTGGAGCGGGGAGTGCCCGGCCCACGCCCGGGAACGGCCACGGGCACGGCCCCCCCAAATCAGAGCTGCCCCTGTGGGCAGCTGGTGTGGGAGATTTGGGGGGGCTGCCCACCCTAAACCCTCCCTGAGTTGGATTTTGGGGCTGTTTCCCACCCTAAACCCACCCTGAGTTGGATTTTGGGGCTGTTTCTTACCCTAAACACCCCTGGGTTGGATTTTGGGGCTGTTTCCCACCCTAAACCCTCTCTGAGTTGGATTTTGGGGCTGTTTCCCACCCTAAACCCACCCTGAGTTGGATTTTGGGGCTGTTTCCCACCCTAAACACCCCTGGGTTGGATTTTGGGGCTGTTTCCCACCCTAAACACCCCTGGGTTGGATTTTAGGGCTGTTTCCCACCCTAAACCCTCTCTGAGTTGGATTTTGGGGGTATTTTCCACCCTAAACCCTCATTGGTTTGGAGATTTGGGAGTGATACCTCCCCTAAACTCTCCCTGGGTTGGATTTTGGGGGTGTTGCCCACCCTAAACCCACCCTGAGTTGGATTTTGGGGCTGTTTCCCACCCTAAACCATCCTGGATTGGATTTTGGGGCTCTTTCCCACCCAGGTAAGGATTTGGAGGTGTTGCCCACCCTAAACCCCCCCCGGGTTGGATTTTGGGGGTGTTTTCCACCCCGAAGCCCCTCCCCCAGGGAAAAGGGGGTGTCTGGCAGCCCCCCCAAACCCCTCCCGTGACTCCCCAGGGCCCTGGGCAGTTTCCAGCCGGGAATCCGAGCCGGGCTGTCCCTCCCGGGTTATTTTTAGTGTCCCCCAGGACTATTTGGGGACAGCTGGCCCTGTCCCCGTGCCCACCTCGTGCCACTGAAGGGGGCACGGAGCCCCTTCCCCACTTTTTTCCTCCCAGGAAAACTCTGCAGCCCCCAAAGATTAAAGAGAAGATTTTCCCAAACGAGGTAAAATTTGGGTAAGTCACCAGAAAATTCCAGGCTGGGAAAGGTCAGGGAATGGGAGCAGGGACTGGAATTATTTGGGATTAATCCAGAAGCCCCCTCCCCAGATTTTCCCCCCCCCCCCAAGGAAAACGCTCCAACCCCAAAAATTAAAGCAAAGAAGAGAAGATTTGGGTGAGTCACTGGAAAATTCCAGGCTGGGAAAGGTCAGGGAATGACCTGGGATGCCCTGGGAGCAGGGAATGGAGGGGTTGGGATGAATTCAGGAGCCCCTTCCCAAGTCTGGGATCCGCTCCCAGCGTTGATAATATCCAGGGATTAATTAGGCACTAATGAAGTTTGTTCTTCCCACTCATTCCCAGCCACAATTAAAGATTTTCCTGCCCAATCCAGTGTGGGGGTGGACCTGGCTCTTTCCCTCCTTGCTGTGCGATTTTTTGGGGATATTTATGGTTTGGGGTTTTTTTGTTAAATCCCAATCTTTATGGAGTAATCACTTCCATGGGGACACCCCACTCCCCATGGATGTTCCCTCCAGAGCCCCCAACCTTGGGACAATCAGCACGGGGACACCCCAAACTTTGGGATCAGTGCCTTCCTGGGAAACCCCAGCCCTACAGACCCCACCCCAAACTGGGATCACCCCTTTTTTGGGAACCCTCAACCCTATAGACCCCATCCCACTTTGTGATCACCCATTTCCTCAGAGAATCCCAACCCTACAGACCTCACCCCAAATTGGGATCACCCAATTTTTGGGAACTCCCAACCTTACACATCCCACCCCACACTGGCATCACTCCCTTTTTGGGAACCCTCAACCCTACAGACCCCACCCCACTTTGGGGTCACCCCCTTTTTGGGAACCCCCCACCCATTTGAGTTTTCCCCCTTTCCCGGGCATCCCCAGCCCTGCAGAGCCCCCCCAGGCCTGTCCAGGGTCCCCCCACACCCCCATGGGACCCCAAAATCCGCCCCTGGTTCCCCCCCGCCGCCGCGGCCCCAGCTCGCCCCTTTCCCGACGCGCCTTGCGGCACCGGGATTTTATTTTGCATTACCCCGCCTCTTAATCTACATATTATCCTTATAAGGTAGCTGACCACGCCCATTCCCCACCTTAGCCCCGCCCCT